GACAAGGAGGGAGCGGCGTCGCCGGCCCCGAAGAAGCGGCGGTTGGCGGCTGGGGAGCGTTACGTGCCGCCGCCACGGAAGCGGAGCGTGGGAGTGAGCTTCGGCGCGGCGCACTTCGCCGAGACCTCGTACTACTTCGAGGGGGGGCTGCGCAAGGTGCGGCCCTACTATTTCGACTTCCGCACCTACTGCAAGGGCCGTTGGGTGGGCCGCAGCCTCCTGCACGTCTTCAGCACCGAGTTCCGCGCCCAGCCCCTCGCCTACTACCGCGCCGCTGCCCGCGCCGGCCGCCTCCGCCTCAACGAGGAACCCGTCAGCGACCTGGATATCGTGCTCAAGGTGGGCACCCGCCCCCCCAGCCTTGCCCCGGGGCTGGGTCTATCTAGGCTTCCCCTTGCCCCGGGGCTGGGTCCGTCAGGGCACCCCGGAGGCGTCCTGGTAACCAGTGTGGCGTGGGAGACCACAGCGATGGGTGTGTCACCCCGGTGATCATCAGTGCAGTGAAATTACCCTGTGACAGTGCTAAAGTTTGGGGTGTTAAAGGGGAGATGGGGTCTCCCGGGGAATTCTTACCCCGGAGGTGTCAGGAATGTGCTGGTCCTGCAGAGCCAGTGTGCCCCACAGCTTCCAACTCAGCCCCTGGCAAATGGGTGAGGCACGGGGCTGTGCTCAAACCGGGTTATCGAATTCAGGTGGTGATGCACAGTGTTGTGCTGGTTTCAGGACAAAGGGGCTTTCGTTCGCCACCACCCCCCAGTATTAAGCCCTCACTATGTGTGGCCAGATGGGGTGGTTATGCGAGCTGGACTTGCGCTAATTGTCTGTCTTTCTTGCAGAATAATGATTATCTCAGGAATACAGTGCATCGCCATGAGCCACCGGTCACTGCCCAGCCTATCCAGATCTTGGTGGAGGATGATGAGGTGGTAGTTGTGGACAAACCCTCTTCTTTGCCAGTACATCCCTGCGGCAGGTTTCGTCACAACACAGTCATATTCATCCTCGGCAAAGAGCATGATCTGAAGGAGTTGCACACCATTCACCGCCTGGATCGCATGACCTCAGGAGTGCTTATGTTTGCCAAGACAGCAGAGGTATCCAAGAGGATCGATGAGCAGGTTCGGGAGAGGCAGGTGAGAGCCAAGGGCTGCTGTGGTTTTTGGAATCTCTTGCACGAGTATTGTCTTGAAACAGGTTAGGTCCAAAGTCAGCCAAATCTTTGGTCTAAATGAGCACAAGTTCTCAAAACAGCTTGTGGTCATCTTACTGTTGTTACTGTATTAAGCATGACAAACATCAAGAGAAAAAGACTGAGTAAAAATTTGATTTTGCTGATATTAGATTGAAAAGAATTCCCTTCCCTAAGGGACTATGCAAACTGACTGCGATCATGCAAAACAGTTAAACAGCAGTTTAATCTGTAAGTGGAAATGTGCCAGTCATCTAATACTTTTTCAATTTTAAAAATTTTAGAAGTTTTTCTCATTTTTCCACTGACTCTTGACCCAAACAGAGTGATAGCTGTAGGGTGCTAGCTACCAGGATTTGCTTCAGGGCTGTAAACTGAATGTCACTGAGAGATAGCTCTTGAATTTCATATGAGAAAAACAGGCCAGGCCCTTGTGTTCTTCATTTCCTGACTAGTTGGGGAGAGCATGAGAGAAATTTGGATTTAAGTAGCTGATTTTATTTTTTTTCCCTTTTCTGTTGTAATAAAATTTGGGCAGTATGTTGCCTATGAATGTATTTCATTGAGGAGAGAGAGAGAGGAGTAGCTAGGATGGGGCTCAGATGTAATCAGGACGGTGACAGTTTTCTGTTCTACTTTCTGAGAGTTACTCTTGTGTCTCCCCATAGCTGGAAAAGGAGTATGTCTGTCGTGTGGTGGGGGAGTTTCCAGAACACGAAGTGGTCTGTGAAGAGCCCATACTAGTTGTTTCTTATAAAGTGGGAGTATGCCGCGTGGACCCCAAAGGGAAATTCTGCAAAACCATCTTCCAGAGGCTCAGTTACAATGGCAAGACCAGCGTCGTCAAGTGTCTTCCACGTACGGGCCGCACGCACCAGATCCGGGTCCATTTGCAGTATTTGGGGCACCCTATTGTCAATGACCCCATCTATAACATGGAAGCCTGGGGCCCTGACAGGGGCAGGGGTGGCAAGATCGATAAAACGGATGAAGAACTCCTTAAGGCGCTGGTAGAGGAGCATCGTTCCAAGCAAAGCCTGGATATCTTGGGTATTTCAGAGGAGGACTTGAACTCCAGTGCTGAAAATAAAGACTGTGGTAATGTGAGTGACTGCACAAAGCCTGCGCAGGCTGATCCTATAAATGAGAATTGTCCTGCTGAGGACACAAAGGATTCTGAGAGAAATGACATATCAGCTTGTCCACTGAACTCTGATACCAACCTGGAAACGCTTGAAAAAAATAAAGAACTTGATTCATGTGAGAATCAGGATGGGCAAACGGGAGAAAATAGTTCAGAAGAGAAGGACCCTTTATGTGTGGAGTGTAAAATTACAAGGCGGGACCCATCTCCCAAGGAGCTGGTGATGTACCTACACGCACTGCGCTACAAGGGAGCAGAGTTTGAGTATTGCTCCAAGATGCCTGAGTGGGCAATGGAGGACTGGGAGGAATGACCGAGGATGTCCAATGCCTATGGACATTGTTGGCCAAGGAAGCATCTTGTGAAGACCTAAAATTTACTTTTTCAATGTGGTTGAGGTGAACGAACTGCCTGTGACCTGAGATGGGATGGGGAGTGTTTTTGGAGCTGGAGACTTGTCCTGACTGCCAGTAGATGCTGTTAAAATGACTGGGAAGATGGGGCTACAACGCTGGGTTCATGCAGCCCTTCAGTGAATTAGCACTTCAGGGCACCAAACACCACTCGGCACAGGCAGCTTTGCCTTTCACCTCCACGTATTGGGTCTGCAGCTGATGGTCCACACAGATAATTAAGTGCATGCACTTAAAAGTCAGCAACTGATTTTACTTCCCAACTGCTGTGTTGTTGTATCTTACAGAAAGAGCTGCTGGAATGTCATTCAATATGCTGGATGTCATGTACACAAAACTGTTTTTACAGTATTTTATTGTCAGGTAGACTTTAAAACTCAGAACAGTGTAAGGTAAAACCAGAGCACTGTGAAGGTGATCCATTTTCTACTTGCTGTTTGTCAGCAAGGTAGACTTTGCCTTGAAATTGGTCTTTTAGTATTGGTTCATATAATTAGTTAAAGTTAGTAACTCTAGGGACTGATCCTTTTATATTGGGCCTGGTTTTGGAGGTACTAGTCCCTAGATTTTGGCTTAATGAGATTTATATGGAGACTGATTTAGTATTTTTTGCCTTTCTGTTCTGCTACCTCCCATGTGACATATGTCCTGACTTAAAAACATGTGGCTTCTCTTCTGAGAACTGGTCGATCTTGATCCCTCATGCTTCATTGAAAACATATTCAAGCTGGAGCCAAAATCCAAACTAGAGTTCAGTCTGCCAACTTTTTTTTTTTTTTTAAACCATACTATAGGCAGGTTTTTTCTGATTGGCATGGAACTGTTTTTAATATCACTTCAGTGTGACTATCAGCTTTAAAGAAAAACAAAAGCTGTTTTATGAACCAGAAAACTTTTTAAATATACATTTTATATTAATATGTTTTCAGGATGATCAATATCACTATAGTTCTTACTTTCATCAGTTTTTATGTGGTTGCTTTTTGGCCTCTGGGAGGATTATATTCTGCTGTCTCAGGTTCTTTTTTTTATCTTTTTTTTTTCCTCTTTTCTGTATGTGTCACCAGTGGTAATGACCAGTTCCAGTGACTGCTGTAGACAATCAGAAACTTTACCAGGGAAGAACCATGTTGTCATGGGACTGTTTGCAGACATTGGTCTCTAGCCCTGTTGCTCTGTAGCCACCTCTCTCCACACCTATTCCTGCTAGGACACATGCATGGTGTTCTACACATCTGAAATATTAAAGAAGCCTTTTTTTAAAGGTGAAGAAGGGAATCCAGAGGAGCTGATAGTGTTCAGCAAGTGTGTCAGCAGCCTTGCTGGAGCGTGGTCTGAGATCATCCTTCCTTGTCATACTGTGCTCCAGGGAGCTCTGGCTGTTTCTCAGCCCCTCAAGATGTGGTTTTCATGCAGATCTTTCATGACTGGTTTGCCCATTTCACACAGGTTACTGGAGAACTTGCTGCTTCCCAGGTGTCTGTGTGTGGGACACTGGGCACCTGAGGTTGGTCAGGCCCATGGGGATGCCTGTCTTCCTCTTGGCAAGGCTCCTGGAATCACTTGATGATGTTACCAGGATATCAGGACTTGTGTACCAAAACAGAATAAACCGGTGCTTGCTTCTCCCAATAGCTCACGGTAGCTGAGTGATTTCTTTCTCTCCTAGATCATCCAGCTGATGTGTTGAATGTTTCCATAAAAGTTCACTTAGGCTTGAGCTTTGCTCTTCCACATCCTGCCAAGGGTCTCTCGTGATTCTAAATTAACCATAGATCTTATTTTATTTTTTTCTGCCATCATGTATTAAGGCCAGGTCTAGTACTTGGCTACATGCACCTTGTTAAACAAAGGTGATAAAAGGTCCCCTGTGTTTGAGAGATGATGCTAAAAACTAGTGTCATCTAGATTTTCCATGCACTTAAACACCTACTTCCTTGGATACCTTCAGTATATGAATAAGGGTGTCTGCAGCTGGTAGTAGCTTTAGAGGCAAGGGAAAGGCAGTAGATTTAGGGCCAACAGATTTAAATTAGACTTTGAGGTGTCAACATATATTGTCTGGGTTCTTTTTTTTTTTCTTTGAGATAAACATCTGAGGGCTTTTACTGACTTGTGCCGGTAGATGGGAGACTGGAGGGCTGAAGGGCCTGATATGGAGCTGGAGCTCAGTGCTGTTTTTTCCCTTTTTACTGTAGTTAGCATCTTTTAATTATCACACCTTTCTGGTCAAGAAACTCCTGGGCTTCTGCTTTCAAGAAAGGTTGAACGATGGAAATTTAAGGTTGATTTCACAAGAAGCCAATTGCATCATATTTTATTTCAGTTTGGTGCTGTAAACGTGCACAAGAAGACAGTGTTTTACTGTTTTACTAATAGGGAAGGTGTTATTAGAGATGTGTTGTGATAAATTCTCAGTGAAGAGTAGGTCTGAGGTAAATACTGTGTCCTGGGTGCGGGGTAATTGCAGGCATAAAATATCTGTAGAAGGTGTAGGTCCTGGAAGAAGTCATTTCTCTGCTACAGTTTTATTTCAATACATCTTTTTACGTTATATCAAAGGACCAGGAGGATATGGAAAATCTGGTAAACCCTGGTGGGAACTTTGCTGTGCTCCGTCCACTGGATTGGTCAGAATTAACTCCTAAAATGTCACCAAGGTGCCTATCTTCCACACAGTAATGCTTTTCCAGTTGTGTTTTAACTGGTCTGTTATGGGGGCTATTTGTGAGGCTATGGGCTCATGATCTGGCCATTATCTGCAGGGGATTTAGTATAATCTAATTTCCACAAGGATTTAAGCATGGTTAAACCTGCTGCAGCGTATGCCTGGAGGGCTGGCAGAGCTGTTACAGTAAATTATGTGAGGCCCCTTCCCCAGCTGTGATGATGTGTTTAACCCCTGGACCAGGGCCACCTAGTGGGAGTTTTGTGTTTCATTAATTTCTACTTCCAGACTTTTCTGAAAGTTAACTGTTGATGGATTAGGCAGAGAAGCTTTCCCGTGTCTCTTCAGTGCAATGATTTATGCTTTCTAAATCATTGTAACTTCGTGAAAAGCAAGGCCGAGTGCGATAAGCACTTTTCTAAAGCAAACCTTGACGTAACTTTCAGTGAGGCACTAGGCTCAGTTTGGCTGGAGCAAATATTTACCCAAAACTGGGCTGGCCTAGTCCTTAAAGACAAAAATTGTTTTGGGATCGCAAGAATAGAATCAGAAGTGGTTTGTTCCCGGTGGTGTCGTGGCTCCGCGCTCTGGCTGGTGTCTGAGGAGACGAGAGAAGGCAGCTGCCCCGGCAGCAGGCAGTGATCCCGCAAGGATCCAGACCCCTGGGGACACTGTCCTGGCACTGCCACAGCCATGGTGGCTGCCCCGGGTGGCAGTTTTGCTTCCTCTTTTTTTTTTTTTTTTTTCCTGTAACAGTTAAAGTATCAGCCCCAGGGAGGCGGGAGCCCGAAGGGTGTCCCCGCGGGACGCAGGCCCTGCCTGGGCGTACCCCTGAGGAGCGGTTCCCCTGCACGCCTTCCTCCGCGCCACGGAACGGGGCTGCCGCCGGAGGGCCGCGCCCTGAGCTGCGGCGAGCGCCTCGGTCCCCGGAGAGGTGGAGTAGGAAAAAAAGGAAAAAGAAAAAAAAAAAGAAAAAACTTCGCTTCTCGACGAGGATGGGATTCGAACCCACGCGTGCAGAGCACAATGGATTAGCAGTCCATCGCCTTAACCACTCGGCCACCTCGTCACGACGGCTGGGTCTCTCGCCCAGCCTATGAGGAGGAA